ACTCACATCACAACACTGGACCCAAGTCTACTCATCACTAGATGCTACGGATCACTGTACTCTAGCCGAGTTCCTGGCATTGCCACATCACACACGACCCAAACCGACTCACCATTGGACGCTACGGACCGTCGTACTCCAACCGAGTTCCTGGCATCGCAATCACCACACACGACCCAGGCCGACTCACCACTGGACGCTATGGATCCGTACGCTAGCCGAGTTCCTGGCATCCCTACATCACATCACACGACACCACCCTCACACACAAGTCGAAAACAGGTACACATACACGTACAAAGTTCACATCTCCAAAAATTAGTTGTACATATCAACGTAGTTCACTAACAGTCCATAAAACATATAACACATTCCAAGATTCATATATCAAACACAGTTCACAAATCCATGCAGTCATCATGCTAGAAAAACAAGTATAAAAATACATGCATAGAGAGGGTATCATCACTCACCATATAGGCTGAAACAAAGAAACTCCTGATCTCCCTCACTCGACTCACGGACCAGGACGCGCCTCCTCCAGTGTATCTATAACCAAAATACACAAAATCATCACCAATGCCGAAACCGGCACAATAACCAAGCTTGATAGCCTCAAATCGGACTCAAATTCTAAATTGGCCCTCTGACACGCATCTCAAGGCAACATGACCTATCACCGAAACCTATGCGACTCACTAACATGCAACCGTCCAACTCAACAGCCCATAACACTACTAAACCAACGTCCAAATCTTCAATTATAGTGAACCAGCCTCCAAAACCCTCGAACCGGCCTAACTCGATCCCAAGACTATCTCAAACTCAACTCGATTGGCCACGAAACCCTCAAAATGGATTCAGAAGGCTCAAAAACCCTAGGAACCAATCGAAACTGGGCAAAAGGCCTTAAACCGGCCCTGAACTGGGCTAAAAACCCTACTCTTAAGTATCGACACGTAAACCAAGGCTGGTTCACCTTGAACCAGGCATTCAAAAATTCCCAAACTTCATGGTTAGCTAGGTTTCAACATGTTGAACTAGAAACCGGTTCAACCTTCTCAAGAACTGGCCTAAAAACCAGTGAACCGGTCACCCGAAGGGAATCACAATAAACCGGCCGGTTCACCTCGAATCGGTCACCCAAAATTTCACGAACCCACTTGGTTTAATAGATTTTTCCTCCCCAAACCCAGAACCGGTCAAAAATATAGATTCCTAGTTAAATTGGGCACTGAACCGGCCGGTCAAAGCCCCGACCGGTTCGGTCAAAACCCTCTGTTTCTTTTTTTTGCTCGGCTCAAGCCGCTAGCCCAGCGGCTCGGCTCAAGTTGCGACTCGCAGCTCGAGCCCAGCTGGGCCAGCCTAATCCATGGCTCGGCCCAGCTGGTTGGGCTGGGCCGGCCCAACTAGCTCGGGCCTCCTCCGGCCCGAGCTCAACCCGACCCAGCCCAAATCGCACCCTACTCGGGTTGAGTCGGCTTGGTGAACTGAGCCGACTCGTCCGGTTCGACTCAGACGGACCTAGATACCATTCGGGTTCGTCTCCTTCACCCGAACGCTGCAATCCAGGTCTGTAACAGACCCGGATCTCAAATCTTGAAGAAAACCTCGTTTTAAAGCTTACCTGGTTGAATTGGAAGCCCGGAATGGCCAAACCGAATCCCGCGAGCCTGTAGAAACCTTTAATCGGAGAAATTCAAGCTTAAAATTCCAATTTTTTCAAAAATCCACTCGTCGGCACCCCCAGTTCTTCCCTCGCTTCGTTCTTCCTCTTTTTCTCAACGATTTTCTTGATTGGACCTTTAACGAGACTCGTTCCTCACCTATATACCCATCCTTAAAGCTAATTCGAGCTGTTTAGCTCTTATTGGAGCAAATCGCTCCTTCCAGGTCCTTCGGCCGACTTTCGGCTAGAAACTTTTTTTTTTTTTTCAATCCGGCCCCAGCCTCTTTTATTTCTGTCAATTAACTCCCCCAATTTCAATTTAGTCCAAAAACGTTTTTAATTGTTGCAAATTAATCAAAAATTAATTAAATAAAAGTATAAAAATCGGGCTATTACACTGCCGTGCTATAGCGTCTGGGCGCTATAGCGCGGTAATTCTAGTGTGCAGCGCACTGCTACAGTAACCCGGGCAATTTTTTTTTTTTTTTACAAAAATTTTATTTCTTCCAAAACTTCCAATACACTTCCTACCTTCCCAAATTCTTCAAAATTCTTTCTAAATAAATTTAAAACTCAACCCAAAGTGGTTTATAAGATTTTTTTTTTTTTTTTTAAGTTGGTTTTGGATGTTACATTATATCACATAACGCCTTCTTAATTATGCCTCTTTAGCTTTAGGAAAATAATAAGAACAAACTAAATTTGTGCCAATTAAAGAAGAACCAAATATGAGTAGATGTATAATTTCATCTTATGTAATTCATAGGATTATAAAACAGTCAACTACATGTAAGTAATCTTGAAAAATATGTCTCTTTTAACATTCATAACTTGGTAGATGAGTTTTAAATGCTCTTTAAAAAAATTATAGGAATCCTAATTGGAGAATGTTGTAGGCCAAGAAATTGAAGATTTATAAGATTTACATAATCTGTGAATAGGAAGAAGTTGTTAGAGGGAAAAATTAGACTGTTGAGATGTAACCTCTTGAAAGGGTGTACAAGGGTAATTGTGATTTGAGTGTCAATAAGTATTTTTTTTTTTTATATTTGAATTTACTCTTACAATGAATAATATATTTATTTTATATACAGATGCAGGGAATATTTATTGAACTAATTTAATATTAGGGGTTATTTATGATTTTTCTTCTTTATTATTTTCTATTAAATAATTTGTGAATGTGTAGATTAAATTGTGATATTTGGGTTGTAAGTTTGAATGAAAATTTTGAAAAACTGAACTAAACTAAGGTATTTAGTTTAATTCACTTCATATGAGAATTAGTTTAATTTCAATTCAATTTGCTTTGCAAAAAAACACTCGAACTCCTTTATTCGATTTTTGGTTCAATAGGTTAAAAAATGTCAAAATTAAACCAAAGTAGGATGATATACATAGTTCATTCCTAATGTATTCGATGGAATATTTTTTTAGATATATTGCTAGTAAATTGATGGTTGCTTTGTTGATAGGAAATGTATTTTTTGAATAACAATAGAAGCATTGTTTGCAATAGGAATATTTTTTTGTTTAGAATTTTTTTTTTATATTTTTGAATTCAAAAAAAGATTGAACCAATCTATTTGGTTTCAGTTTGTCAAATACTTCAACACGATTTTTTTTTTTTGGGAAAATAGAAAAACCAAACCCCTAGTTTTAGTTCAAAAAATAAAATAAATTAAGTCATATTAAACTGAATTATTTGTAACTTTTATTATTATAATATTAGAAAATATTATTACTTGGATTAAATAATATTTAAAATATACGATAAACCTTTCCATAAAATATAATGTATCTAGATAAGTATAATATTTATCAAATAGCCATAAATAATTTTTTAAAGAATATTAAATGATTATAATAAGGTTGATATAAATTATGCAATAGTACTTGAAAAATAAATATCTAATATGATATATAACAATTAAAAAGAAAATAGACAAAGAGGGTGAGTGAAGAGCTGAGTATTCCATATTTTATTGTATAAATTTACTAATTTTACTTAAGAAATGTCCAAATTTGCGCATAATTCAAACTAGAATAAGTTTCGACTTTTCCGAATCTTTGTGAAATTCTCCCGGGGCTTGGCATTAGCGACAAACGTCTTGGATATATCATACTCATGCTTTTGAAAGATAACTAGACAACCAAGTGACACACTCACCCTCTGTCCTCCATATTTATCATTGTCGTGATTTAATGTAGCAGTAATTTTAATAATTATTAAATTAATATTAAATATTAATTTTAATATCAATCAATGAATATTATCATTTCTTATTCATAAAGACAAAACTTAACTTGTTTCATATTATCAAAAGATTTATTGTTATTTTGTTAATAAAATAAATTTATCAAAAGATTCTATTTATTTTATCTCCAAAATTAATTTATATTTTTATAAAATTTTATCTTTTGAACAAAACTTCACTTGTCTTGGCGTAGTCTTAACATGTTTAAATTTTTGGGTGAAAGACACTTATCTATTTTTAGATTTACTTAGATAATACTTACCTTTATTGTATAATGAAAAACTAACAATTACATAATAATTTTATTAAAAAAGAGATAAGAATAAACCAATTTTACATATTTAGTTACTTATCTGATTAAAATATTTTTTAATTTATTTAATATTTTGAATTAAAAAAATTTAACTTTTGATAATTTAATTTTATTATTTTTAATTTTTTAATAATTTTTATTTTATTATTTTAGTTTTATTTAAATGTTGAAATCAGAATAGCTATATACCATTTAAATTATAAAAGTGTTGAGTGTAATTTTAAAAAATAAAATAAAAATTATTTAGAAATTAAAAAAATAATAAAATTAAATTATTAAAAATGATATGTTTTAATTATTTTTTAAAAATTAAAAATAATAAATTTTAAAATAATTTAAATAATATTTTAATTTTTAACTGCATAAGTAATTAAAATATATAAAATTAAATTATTCTCACAAAATTTTTAACAAAATTATTAAATAAATGTTAATTAATAATTAATTAAATAAAAATATTTTTTATGATAAAAATAAAAATAAAAGTTATTTAAGTAAGTTTTTTACCCTAATATTTTTTTAAAATTCTGGTAGCGCGTGCTAACTGCGAACCAAATTCACCGGTAACTATTTCAATTGGGTAGAGTCAAAGTCCATCAGCTTCTACCTTTCTTCCTCTCTCTCTTCTTTCTCTCTCCAAATATTATGATATACGTACATATAATATATGCAGATCCGACCTAAATTTGATCTCCATTCTCCAATTCAGTTCTTGTCGGAGAAGAACTGCGCCTAGGGTCAACGATCACAACGGCACAGAATGTGTGGCATATTCGCGTATCTGAATTACAATGTCAGCCGGGAGAGACGTTACGTGCTCGAAGTCCTCTTCAATGGTCTGAGGCGTTTGGAGTACAGAGGTTACGACTCCGCCGGAATCTCTATTGACTCTTCCTTCCCTCATCCTTCGATTGCTGGACGCCCAGATGGTGTTTCCTCTGATTCGCCCCCTCCTCTCGTTTTCCGCCAAGAAGGAAACATCGAATCGCTCGTCAAATCGGTCTACCAAGGTATATTCTCCTCAATATCCCGTCTTTCCTTATTATATATTGGCACATAGAAAAGAAAATAATAGGAGGATGATAAAATTAGGATTGGGATTCTCTGTCCGGAATTGTTGGAGAAGAAAAGTAAAGAATGAAATTATACTATTCGAATAACTAATAAAAGTATCTATTGAGACTAATTAGTCCCATTCTTCCTTCTCTTGGAAGTCAACGCACTGCACAACATATTCATTCCGTTCATGTTGTTATAATAACTGCCTATTTTTGTTCTAGCTGAACGGGAGTTCAATGTTGTACGATCAATTAGTTATTTTTGATAGGTGATGCAATAATTCTTGCAACTTGGATTTTAAACTGATGCCAACATTGAATTCTTGTAAATGGACTAATACTAAAGATATATGATGGCACCAAGAGCATTCTAAATACTGGGAACCGTTGGTGGGGGAACTCCTTCAAAGGCTAGAAATTCTTGCAAAAGAAATTTACCTTTGCTTAGAGCCAAGAAAGAATCAGCCCTCAACAGAATGGAAAATGCCCGTTTCACCATCTGAAGAGCAGATGTTAGGAGTTAACAAGAAGAGAAGGCAAGGTTGGTGAAGAAGGAATGGAATTGGGATGGGAGGGAATAATGAAGAGCAAACAATTCAAAGCTTGGCAATACGTTACTGCTCATACCACGCCTGTTATACTTAAGTAACCAGCTGCTAGTATATTTTGGCTTATCAAATGTTATTAGTTTTGGAACTTTTAGGGGTGTCTAATAAGACATTGGCTTTGAAGGGTGAAATGACAAGATTTAAGAGCAGCAGTTTGTGCAATTATGAAGTAATTTAGGTCTCCTTGTAGTCCTCCATTTCCATCGCCTAAATTAGTGTCACTTTCCAGTAAAAGTTTCTTCTAAAAGAAGATTCATAAAATGAAATCATTTAGGGTCGTATTTCTAAACTTGGACTGCTATTAGTTTCATGATTGGCTATGACTTAGGAAAATTTCTAGCTTTCTGTATGGTAGGGGACTGACTTGGCCTGATTCTTAAGTATTTTTTGCTGATAGATAGTTGCTAGAAATTCCAAAAAATTAGGAATTTGCAGGTAAGGAACGGAGGGACTTGGATTGAGCATGCCTTTTAGAGTTTCTATGATCGGAATAGGAAATATCTGTTTGCAACCTATGACTCTTGAAAATTAGTTTGGTGGTTTGGATTCTTTGCTCGTGAAGGTTGAAGTTTGAGAAAATAAAATGGAAATGGTATGACTGGTTTAATATTATGCTTGAAAAGAATGATCATTAAGAGCATTGTTGTTAGCATACCTTTCTGGCTTGTACAGATCGTACAATGCAAGGGCCAGGACTTCACCAGAAGAAGCACCCCACCATCATCAAGACCATTGTTGTTATTATGGGATTCTTTAGTTCTTTTACTTATGCAAGCATAGAAGCAGACAACTATCTTTGACTTATACAAGCATAGAAGCAGACAACTATCTTTTACTTATACAAGCATGGAAGCAGACAACTATCATGTTGAAATTTAGGACCCTTGACCAAAAAAATATGAATAGTCAAAATTGGTCTACATGGACTGTCCATGCAGTACATGTCAAGCAAAATTGAAAATCAGCGAATACTTGGACAAGGAAAATGAAAAACTGTTGGCGAATAGTAAATAAATTGTTAAAAAAATCAAGGAAAATTATTAATTAAAGTAAAAATTAAACTTACTTCTATAGACTATTGAGCATATCCAGTATTAAAATTTGAAATGTTTACAAATTTTCTTAATGAATTAAAGTTTATTATATGGAATTTGGTCAATTGAATTCAAAGAGGCCTGAGACTTCAAAATGGAAACTTCGACATGTAGACCAGTATGGTTGTCTTAGACCTAAAAGAAATTTGATTGATGAGTCAATAACATTATCCAGTTCAACAAGATACCTTATGTACATTAAAGGCTATGTGTTTAAATATCTGAGGATTACAAGAAAGACCCTTGATATAAGAAACACATATTTGCACACATGCAAGTGGAGCTTTTTGATGTTTAAGAAAATCTAAGGAGATTGCTGTGCACTAACTCTGGATAAACATAGATCTGCTCATTATCATGGACATTATCCTTTGAATCTTGTTTGTCTTCTTGAATCACATAGGCTCTAGCCTTTATTTTAGGCTTCCAAAGCCAATTGCTACCACTGCAGTTTGTTTTTGAGTAGAAAATTTGATTGTATAAATGCACACATGTCCTGTTTGCATTATTTATTGTTTATCAGATTTATATGCTTTACTATATAAATAAAAGACTATTTTGTTAGAATATTGCTGATGTTGAAGTCAATGGTGAATGTGGTGTTTTCAGAGGTATCCAACACAGAATTAAGTTTGGAGGAATCATTTTTGGTGCATGCTGGAATAGCACACACCAGATGGGCAACCCACGGAGAACCAGCTCCAAGGAATAGTCATCCTCAGAGCTCTGGCCCTGGAAATGAATTCTTAGTTGTTCACAATGGAGTTGTCACCAATTATGAGGTTTTTCTTTTCTCTTCTTCTTTTTTTTTTTTTTTTTTAGAACTAACTATGAATTTCTGTCCTTGCATTAGTTTAGCTAAATGAAAATAGATGGGTTGTAGGTTCCTGTGTTGTGAGACTCTATTTTGTTTGTAAAAGGGGTTAAGAAAAAGAATATCCTGTATTAATTAATGTTACCAGTCAAGCTTTTTATGAAAAGAGATTTGGAATGCTGTTTAATGAAATATATGACATAAATTGATGATAAGAGAATCTTTTATTTGCTAAAGTTCATTTCTAGCACTGTTTGAACTCTATTTTATGTTATTTTTGCTGCTTTGGCATTCATCTCTGCTCATTTTTATGACTGTCATATTAGATAGTCTATTCAAGTCTAAGCCTTCTGTTTTCCCTGGTTGCTGTATTTTATTGTATTTCCTCTTTACCTATGATTTTGCAAATATTGATCACTTTTGTCCTGTTTTTGTGCCCTCTAAATCATGTTCACTTCTAAAACATTATTTTATGATTCTCTAAATCCGCAGCATTTTAGTTATGTAATGAACTGTTTCTGATGTGCTGTTTCTAATCTTCAGGTATTAAGGAAACACTACTTCGACATGGGTTCACCTTTGAATCTGAAACAGATACAGAAGTGATACCCAAGCTTGCGAAATTTGTTTTTGATAAAGCAAATGAAGAAGGTATTTATTTGAGTATAATGTGGCTGTGGATTTGCTAGATAATGCTTGGTCCCTTATTGCCCAAACATCTTACACTATTCATGAATTGTATGTCATGCGCTGGTACTCTCCCTTATGTGCATATTTTTATTTCCATTGTGTGAGGAGATAGAAAGATGTAAGGTTCAAATGGAGCAGAGTCTGAAAGGATGAATACACAGGGGACAGCTTAGTATTTAGAGAGTTAAAGACCAGTTAGAATCAAAGCATTTGGTAATATGTTTGGATACGGGTTTCCCCCAGAAGGTTAACTGTGCAGCCCTGAAAATATTTACTAAGGTCTAGATGTCCTTTTTTTTTTTTTTCCTGTATAGGTTGGGAAGTAGGGATTTGAAAATTTTGCTGCATCACAAATTTTCAGGATTTTGAAATTTCAGCAACTTCTTTGCTTGCAAGCTGCATCACAAGTTTTCAGGATTTTGAAATTTCAGCAACTTCTTTGCTTGCAAGTTTCATGGTAAAAAACCTTCTATGAACAGATTGGAGGCTAAGTATTCCTGACTAGTGCAAAAACTGAACAAAAATGACTATATTTTTCTTATGGGAAAGAGGTCCCTAATCCTGTGAGTGCTGGGAATCCAACACCTCCACAATGTATCACTAACACTAAATTTTCAAGCACTTTGTTAACTTTGCACGGTAAATGATTGGCTTAAAGTCTTTCATTGTTGATGTACTTTTTCTAGTAGTATGTGTGAGCTTTTCCCTGCCTTCATATGCTTTGTGCATCAATGATGTAATTGAATTGCTTTGTACATAACTGGAACTTTCAACAAGCTTCAAATAGTCGTCTTTCGTAGATGCAAGGGGGGCTTGGATGTGTTTAGTTCTTTTTGATGGAAACTAGATATTCCTTTTCTTTCTCATTCATATATTTGTTAAAGAAATTTTGTTTTAGTCGTAAAAAAATGCCATGGTTGTTATGATATTCAGATGATTGAAACACTTCCTATTGCAGGCGATCGAACTGTCACATTTAGTCAAGTTGTGCTTGAAGTGATGAGGCATCTTGAGGGAGCCTATGCTCTCATTTTTAAAAGCCAACATTATCCAAACGAATTGATTGCTTGCAAACGTGGTAGTCCGTTGCTCCTTGGTGTCAAAGTAAGAGATGTTTGAACCACTGTGTTTTCAAAGAATTGTCTTTCATTTTCTAGTTTTGCTTTTTCAATCTTAATAGTTTGCTTATTTAGGCCTTGCTAGATTTTCGGACAGCAACAAAAAAAAAAAAAAAAAAGGGAAGAACAAGAAGAAAAGGCCTTTTTAGATTTTAATTTGCTGACAACATCTTGGTTTTTGTGAAAACCAGTCAATAAGTGAAGTGCCTCTGTAGTTTCTCTGCTTCAAAGCTAAAAATGGGATTTGTTCAAATACAATTTGTACTACAATTTGTAGATTTTCATCTGTAACGACAAATACTTAATGAGTCAAGACAAATATTTTTTTTTTTCCAGCTAAGTTCTATTACAACTTGTGTGTGGTGTGTGTGTGTTTTTTTTTTTTTTTGTTTTTGAACTTTCAAGTGTTGATCATATAATAGATGTGAATCTCAAAGTTGATCATGCATGTGCTCGCATTTTTAGCAACAATAAATCCTTGAGATTTTGAACAGGGACTTTTCCATTTCCTTAAGACAATTCTTTATGGGGGTAATTTTATGTCACACTATTATTGTTATTTTTCACTTTTGCTCATTTCCTGATAATTGGTGTTAACTTTCTCGGATGATAGTGAATAATATTGGTGTGTAGTTTTCATTTCTGAACATGAACTAAAGCAGGACATTTTATTATTTAATCATGTTTCCACTCTTTGCCTTTGTCATGGGAACCTGAGGTGACATCAGAACATCAATTTCAAGAAAAACATGGCCTATGATTTCCTTTAGAAATGCGACATTAGCATTACAATATATCTATCATATTTAGGGATAATTTCCCTTAAATGGGGATGAATGGGTAAGGTTATTTGAGAAACTTATGAATGACTTACTTTTGCATTCTTACTATTAAAATCATAGAACTACTTTTAGTATGGTTTCTTAAGAAAAACAAAAATGTTCTATCCAAAAATATCGATTTTGAAAGTCATTTTTCTTTTTAGCTTTCCCTCCCATTCACTTTTTTACTTTCATTGTTGTACTTGTAATTTCTGGTATTCTCTTAATCTAACCAAGTAAGCTCTCAGCAAAATATCAACTATAATGATTGAAACTTATTATAATATTCTATTAGTTATTGCATATTAAATTGAGAATAGAAACTAGCTCTTACATTTAAAATGCCTTAACAAATTCTTAGTAGTGTAATATCAAGCTCACCCTTACTGTGCAGAAATTTTAGATTATGCTGTATATTCTACTCTTATTCGTTGTACTAGTACAATTTACATTGTGGCTAACATTGAGCTGAACTTGAAAGAACACAAATTTATGGTTTGGAAAACATGTAAGGCTTTGGTTCAGGATTTAGAATGGAAGAAATTGTTGCTCAGAATGTTTACTAATGTAGACTGCAAGGGAAGCTTGTATTATTTTTGAAAATTTATTTATGTATGTGTTTTTATTTAATTATTAAAATTATCCTTTTTTTGTCTATTTCTTTAATTGGAATTGGTATTAATGTAGGAGTTTGGTGAAGACATTGGCAACAGCTCATCCTTCCATGATGTCAAATTCCAAGCAAAGAGTGAACAGCCCAAAGAATTCTTCTTATCCAGTGATGCTAATGCTTTAGTTGAACACACTAAAAAGGTCCTGGTAGTTGAGGATGGTGAAATTGTTCACGTGAAGGTATTTTTCTTTTTCCCTCTCACAAATCATTGATTTTGTTCTAAAGACCTGTTTTGCAATCTCATCCTCCTTTGCTGTTAATTGTTTTTGCCTATTAATTTGGATGGTTATATATATTTCTGAAGATGACTGGTGTAGGCCAATTATTGCATCAAAATATGGGATATGCTGGGTTGGAAAGAGAGAGAACATGGATTTGGCCATGCTTTTGCTCTGCTTGTCCTAATTTTTCTAAAGGAGCTGCAGTAGTGTGTCTATGTCCATGATACAGTCAGATGCCATGTCCATGATACAGTCAGATGCCATGTCCATGACCATTCTTTTTAGGAATTGATATGTGTAGCCTTTTGGCACAAAATGTTGATATGATGCTTCTCTAGCCTCTTGACTGGAAATGCTGATTTGGTCATATTTTATACTAATGCTCCAAGACTATTAATCTGCTTTTTGGTGGTCATTAATTCAGGATGGAGCTGTATCAATCTTTAAGTTTGACAATGGCAAAGGAAAACGAAGTGGTGGTCTTGCTAGGCCTGCTTCTGTGCAGCGTGCATTATCAATTCTTGAGATGGAGGTTGAACAAATACATAAAGGAAAATATGAACATTACATGCAGAAAGAAATTCATGAACAACCAGAATCTTTAACAACTACAATGCGAGGAAGACTTATACGTGGAGGTTCGTGCAAGGCAAAGACAGTCCTTTTGGGTGGATTGAAGGATCACTTGAAAACTATTAGGAGAAGCAGGCGAATCATTTTCATTGGCTGTGGCACAAGCTATAATGCAGCTTTAGCTGCAAGACCAATATTGGAAGAACTTTCTGGTAAGTATTTCTTGAGTGTCATGTTCAGAAGATGTTCACTTGCGATGATTCCAATCATCTTAAGCTAAGTTCACTATTTTCATCTGTCAAATCACAGGTATTCCTGTTACCATGGAGATTGCTAGCGATCTTTTGGATAGGCAGGGACCAATTTACAGAGAGGATACGGCTGTATTTGTTAGTCAATCTGGAGAAACTGCAGATACATTAAATGCATTGGAGTATGCCCTAGAAAATGGTGCATTATGTGTAGGTATTACCAATACTGTTGGTAGTGCAATTGCTAGGAAGACACATTGTGGTGTCCATATAAATGCTGGTGCTGAGATTGGGGTGGCCAGTACCAAGGTATTATAGTCAACTTTTAAGAGCTTTTACACACATGATTGCAATTTGAATTTGTCATTTACTTTCTCCAACAGGCCTACACCAGTCAAATAGTAGTGATGGCTATGCTGGCCCTAGCAATTGGAGGTGATGCAGTATCCAGTCAAGCAAGAAGGGAGGCTATAATAGAAAGCCTCTTTGAATTGCCAAGTATGTTTCGATTTCATATTCAAGTCCTTGTCAACAATGCTTGTCTTGTAGTTTCAAGTCCTTGTCAACAATGCTTGTCTTGCAGTTTCAAGTCATTCTTTTTATTGTAAAACACATTTTCAGGCCAAGTCAGAGAGGTGCTCAAGCTTGACCATGAAATGAAGGATCTTGCAGAACTGTTGATTGCTGAGCAGTCGCTGCTTGTTTTTGGGAGAGGATATAATTATGCGACTGCTCTTGAAGGGGCCTTGAAAGTGAAGGAGGTGGCGCTTATGCACAGTGAAGGAATACTAGCGGGTGAAATGAAACATGGTCCTCTTGCCCTTGTGGATGAAAATCTTCCAATTTTTGTTATTGCCACTCATGATGCTTGTTTCAGGTTAGTATTGCAGATACGTTTAGCACTTCAACAGAGAAATGCCAATTTCCCTGATATCTTCCAATTTTGGACAGCAAACAACAGTCAGTTATTCAGCAACTTCATGCCCGCAAAGGGCGACTGATTGTGATGTGCTCAAAAGGTGATGCAGCATCTGTGACTGTGGGTGGTTCCTGTAGAGTAATTGAAGTCCCTCAAGTTGAAGACTGCCTTCAACCAGTAATTAACATAGTTCCATTGCAGGTAATTTAATCAGACCCTTCTGACATTTTCTGAACTTTTTCCTAATCTTGTTAACTCTTGGTATATGGTAAATAGAGGTCAAGATTAGCTGTAGCTGTAGTCAGAGATAGGTCATATGGTATCTTAATTTTTGGTGTATAGTGGAATTAGTAGTTCATGCTTTACTCATATGATGCATACTGTTCAAGAGAGCTGGAAGCTTTAATATGTGCAAGCTGTCTTTCAATGGTGAGTAAATAAATATTTAGATGTTTATATGGGAACAAGCAAGGAAGCTTAATTTTTGAGTGTAGCATGATAGTGTTATTAATGGTGAAATATTGTTTAGCTTAAATGGTCTGTCCATGGTTATTTATACAAGATATTGCTTCGTGTGGAAACTTCTTGTCATGTTTGAAATTTTAGAGAAAAATGCAGTTGCAACCTGAAAAACTCTCTCACCGACTGACTGTCCCAGTATCATGCCAAAATCATGCTTCATTCCAGCAACCTGAGTTTTTTGATTATAATGGTTTGCATGTTGCAAGGACCCATTCAATTAATGGCCAAGTATTTATGTTAGATTGTGTCTAGCTGGAATTTATTTGCATGAAGCTACATTAAATGGAAATCCTATTAGTATTCAGATCCTTAAGCTCCTCTGCATCTAGTTTGTCTTTACTTCTGTCATTCAGTTAGTTGAGAATGTCCTAGACATTTTTCTAAGAGTTGGGAAATGTCTGCTCAGCTTTTGTTGTCATTTCTCTTTTTCCAGTTTGAGTTGACCATCCTTTACCATTAACTTCTATTGAGTTGCTCCGAAATTCAGCTCATGTAGTTCACCACTTGGGGTGTAACAGACCTTCAGTGGGATGTATTGTGTGTTCCCTCCTTTTATTTATTTTTCCTTTTTCTTTTCCATGTTTGGTTCACTGGGGTTTTGCCAATTGCCAATCGCCTGATCTTCACTGGGGTTTCTTTTAAGAATTTCTGTGCGCATCATTTTTGTAGTCCTTGTGCACTTTCTAAGTAAAGGGTTGAGAAGGAATACATCTAAGGATTTCTGCAGGCAAACTACGTGGATGATTCTTGATTTTGCCTGCTTGCCATTGTAATTAAAGTAAATTAATTCATCGATATTTTTAACCCTGTGCTGTTACAATGTTCCATTCAGCTTGAAATCTCATGCCCTTTTGCTCGTGCGAGTATGTCACTGCTGTGCATTAAAACCTGAAAATTAAAGCAAGATGTGTGGTATAATTTTGTTTCTTCTTGAAGTGCACCTTCATTTCCTTAAAATATATTTTCCATATAGTGATTTACCTTATTTTATGCTTTTTAGGATTTTCAGTCGTCTTTCAGCTAGGCTGACTCCCATTGTGTCCTTTTCATCATCAATGCATTTGTATTAATTCATGGTTACTTTTTAAAACTTATTTAATTAATTTTTATCTTTGCTTTGGTGCAGTTGTTAGCTTATCACCTCACTGTTCTTCGGGGCTTCAACGTGGACCAGCCTCGCAATCTTGCGAAGAGTGTGACAACCGAATGAGGAGAGCTTACATTGCTGCTTTGCTCCAGGGCTGTGTTGTGTTGATTTGCTCAATCTTATAAAAAGGTGTGACACCCAATTGAGGAATCCTCTTGCAGAGAATCATGCTAATTTAGGTCTATAAGGTTGAAGAAGAATTTCCTGTGGAACCGCATTGTCTTCTGGGCCCATGCCTCCAAATCTTTGTTTTAGGAATAAATGTATCCTTTTAATTTAACCAAATAATGTAACATAGGTCTCTGACTCATCAATACCCATGTGTGCCATGGATCTTCTGTGTGCATAGTTCACAGCAATGGCTCTTTGACAGTTGGTGATGGTGACAAAAATGTATCTCTAAGGTTAGGGAAAGGATTGTGGTGGAAATGTCGTATGTTAATAAACGCTGACCTGATTTCTTATGGTCTTTAGAGTTGATGGCTTGCTTTTTGGGACCAATGCATTGCTGACTGTTGTCTTGTGGGTTAAATTTTGAATTTTTTTTTTTTCCTTTCAGGATCGGTAGGACATGGGACTATTTCATGCTTAACTGGCGCAAGGCCTAAGCATAAATAAAAGGCTTGTTACCCGTGCAATTGGCTAAATACTCAAGCAGATAATTAGGGATAGAAATAAGTTAAGTTGAGTTAACTTTCTATCAGATTCGGGTCACTTAAATTATAGTTAATTTATAGGTTTAACTTGTACTACGCACATGAACAGCTTGACTCAATTCATTAGTTCACATGTATTAAAAATTAGAAGATTGAGAATTTATATATTCTATTTAAACAATATATTTATAATTTGAATTAATATTGGGATAAAAAGTTTTATCTATAAAAAATTTTAAATTACCTATAATATATGAAAAATATTATGTTATAATTACAATTTTTAACTAGGTTGTATTTTATTATTTTTTTATGATATTCTTGTATTATATTTTTATTTTTAAAAAATAAAAGTCTTCTTAAATTAATAATTTACCTTTTAAAAATTGATTTCTTAATAAGGAATTAATTCAATTTTATCACCATATAATTTTCTCTCAACATTAAAAAAAAATTAAGGGACAATTAACATTTATATTTTAATATTTTTAAAAATAAAAACTAACTGCTTTTTAATTAAAAAAATGTAATTTATTTAAGAATTAAAAAAAGAGTAATCTATTTTTTACAAGTCAATTAGAAATAACTGAAATTTTAAATAATAAATATGAACTTACATATGTATAACTCATAAACCAAATCAGTTGCATACCATTTCATTCAAACTCAGCTCATATTTTATATGAATTACAAAATCTAATTTATTTATTACTCGTTTAAATCATGAATTTAATTTATTAAACCAATTATCGAACCAAATGAGTAACTCGTGAATTAATTCAACTTATTTTCACCCCTAACAGCAATGTTGAGCCACATTTATTATGCAAATTTAGTCACAGATTTTAGAATAAAGAAAGAGTACATGATTAATTATGTGTCCTATCACTCATCCATAAGTAAAATTGTTTCAATTAAAATTTATTTATATATATATATAAATCAATTTTTATATTTAAATTATTGATTATTGACTATTAATAAATATGTTTGATTTTTAAAATGTTTAAATTACGTTATCAAACTGATTGCCTTCTTGGGTGAAATTGATTGGAGGGAGATGAACTGAACCTCATCTTCTACTTGAAGTGAAGACAGAGTAGCTTCTCATAGACTAGGAAAATGGATTAAAATTGCATACCAACACTTAGGTCTTTTGTTCAGATCAAGGTTGTGACATGAGAGAGGTGAAGCACATTATCAGTTTCTTCAAATTTGTTTTTTTTTTTTTTTTTTTGTTTCTTGAAATTTAGTTTTGTTAACACAATTAAATCCTTAAAAATTCAAAATTTTTCAATAACATATATCTAAAAAATATATTTTCTAATTTAAATTTTACATTAATTTTTATATTTATCAAATCGACATAATTGGATTATCCAACTGTTCAATCAACACGTTTAAGAGTGTTATAGAGCATTATCAAATAAAGTATTCACAAATATTAATTTTTCATTTATTATAAATGTTGCGTCAAAAAGAATTTAAAATTATTTCAACATCAAATTTTATTAGTCCTACATTTTTCATGTCTATAATTAAAAAATTAAATCAACATTTTTTAAAATAAATATAATATTAAATTAATACCAGGGAAGGACGCTCAGTCCGGTCTGTAATTATGTAGGCATGAATTTGATGAAGAGTTGGAGGCCATATACATTTACACGTGGCCATGCAGCTAACTCATGTTTTCGTATCCATTCCAAATTCACAGGCACCTTGAATTTATTTATTTAATTATTTTTTTTCTGGGCATTTATAATCCATGCACAATTTTATGAAATTATTTTTCCTCATTTGGTACAAGGGGTATTTAGTTATTTTATTTATTGGTAAAAAATTTCTAAATTTACGGCTTTAAATTTTAAATTTTTAGAGAGAAAAGCATAAATAGAAATATAATTATTTTATTTTATTTTATTTTTTTAACAATTTGAAGCTTGGAACATAATAAAGTTGAGATCTTAAAAGAATGAATTGTGGCTTAATCAAAAGTCCATATGCTTTTGGCCGTTGAGATTTGGGGTCAAATTAACAGCAGAGAAGTAGCATCTATAGGAGGATTACTTCTCTCCTTCCACGCACAATCTATATTTACTGCTACAATATATAATTAAACTTGTATATAAAGCTGGTTCATCTTCGCCAATTTGCACACCCACCAAAATGGATCTCCTGGTATGGGCTTGCTTTCTGGCTTGCCTATGCCTTTCTCCTACCAATTATGTCCATGCTCAAACTCCGGCGGCTTCACCAGCTTCTACTACGCCGGCGGCAAAACCACCACCTTCCATTAATCTTCCAAAAATTTCACCTTCTTCAACCCCAAATCCACCTTTGACTATAATTCCTCCTCCCAAAACTACTACTCCCACGTCTTCGCCTTCTCCTCAATCTCCTAAAGTTAGTACACCATCTTCAAGCCCAACTACGGTCACTCCTATGTCATCCGCTTCTCCCAAAGTTAAACCGCCGTCATCGTCTATCCCAACTGTCACTCCGACTTCCTCACCTTCTCCTAAAGTCTCTTCAAACCCAACGGCTGCTCCGCTATCTTCATCTCCTAAAGTTTCTTCAAACCCAACGGCTGCTCCCCTATCTTCATCTCCTAAAGTTTCTTCAAACCCAACGGCTGCTCCCTTATCTTCATCTCCAAAAGTTTCACCGGCATTTCCCAAAGCCACGCCATCTTCAAGTCCAACAGTCGCTCCTGTATCATCATCTCCTAAAGTTTCACCACCATTTGCCAAAGTTACGCCCTCTTCGAGTCCAACAGTTGCTCCTATATCGTCATCTCCTAAAGTTTCACCACCAGTTCCCAAAGTTACACCATCTTCAAGTCCAACCATTGCTCCTGTTTCATCATCTCCTAAAGTTTCACCACCTATTCCCAAAGTTACACCATTTTCAAGTCCAACCATCGCTCCTGTTTCATCATCTCCTAAAGTTTCACCACCAGTTCCTAAAGTTACACCGTCTTCAAGCCCAAAAGTCAGTCCTCTATCCTCACCATCTCCTAAAGTAGCACCTGCGCCGCCGTTTTATAAAATTCCTCCGTCTTCCAGCCCAACTGCTACTCCTAAATCGTCACCTGCACCTAAACTTTCCCCGTCTTCAAGCCCAAAAATTACTCCTCTACCCTCCCCGTCTCCCAAGCTTCCACCATCTTCAACCCCAGCCCTTACTCCCAAAGCATTACCATCTCCTAAACTCGCACCATCTTTAAGCCCTACGTTGCTACCCCCTAAACTCCCACCTGCAAAGCCACCTGCCCGGTTGCCACCACAATCACCACCACCAGCTTTGCCACCACCGGTGCTACCTCCAGATTTGCCACCACCAGCACCAGCACCACCTAAGAAAGCACCAGTTCCAGCACCAGCAAAGGCACCCCCCCTTCCATCGCCAACTCCGGTGCCTGCACTGGCACCGCCTATTCCATCGCCAACTCCTGCACCAACGCCTTTTCCATCACCTGTTCCATCACCGAGTCCGGCACCGGTGCCTGCACCGTCACCAGCACCGGTGCCCGCGCCGTCACCGACACCAGTGCCACCTCCGCCGCCGCCGTCACATCATGGAAAGCATAAGAAGAAAAAGAAGAAGCACGTTAAGCACAAGAAGCATCCCGATCTCGAAATGGCTCCGTCTCCATCACCGTTCATGACGGTCCAGACCCAAAGCCCCCCAGCCCCTCCTACCACTTCAGATTCCGAGGATATGGCACCAGCACCGTCACCAACTCAGGTAAAATTAAAAAGAATAAAAAGAACAAACATAATGGTAGAAATTAATATTATTTTATGCAATTCAGCAGAAATCTTAATTGCTTCTTCTGGTTACAGAATGGAGGTATTACATTGCATCAGCAGGGAAAAGAGTTTGGATTGTGGTTGAGGATTGGAGTGGCCTTTGCCGTTCTGCTCGCTGTCAGAGGCTGAAATTTTTGGAAGATGAGAATTTGATGTGTTCTGGACATACATGGAGTTTCCTGAAGCAATTTTTTTGATTTCATTTTTTTATTTCATCTGCCAATGCGAGGGGAAATGGACAAATATATGTGTGTATAAATAGAATACGTAAAAATAAAATTATTTTATGAACCTTTGCTTCATTTTGTAAATAAGATTTATTTATCTGTACAAATATAGCATACGATATTAATAATTATTAAGATTTTCGTTTTCCTTTAAATTTTCCTTTCTCAAAATCTAACAAATGCTATTAGATGTAGACGGTCTCTCAACCATTTGGGAATTCTAAATTTGGTCTGCCATCTTCAATTTGGTGCAATCAAGTACCCAGACTTGTCACGTTGTAGCAATGTTGCCCAGGCATCAGTCTCGCTCTAAATCGAATAAAAAGAAATAGGGAAACTTGCCACATCAGCACCCAAGTGGATTTTAAAGTTGCCTAGCACCCTATTTTCAAATTAAAAAAATTGTTTAAAAAACTCAAATCCTGAAATTCTCTCTCTCAAGCCATCTCAGAATATCCTTGAAGATTTAATCCTCGCAATCAAGTCCAAGTTAAACAAACGAATCTAAGCATACCAGTCTGTAAAGGTCAGGTAACAAAAGGAGAGGCCATTACAAGGTTGGGTAGACTCCGGTCCAGATATTTAAGTCCTTGCTAGTAAATATAATTGCAATGGAGTCCGTTTGTACTTTTCCTCTAGTCTTTATCACTGGATGCTTCTTCCCTGTGCTTTCCACCTTGATTGGCCTCCTTTAACCTGTCCGTGTAACCCTTTGGCATTTGCCTCTTTTTCATAAGGAGAACAGAGAGCCTCTTAACTTTCTATATGGAACCAATCTACAAGTTGCCATAGTCTCTCCCATCTTGTTCATGGTAAAATCTTCATCACTCTTTAAGCTTTTCAAGTTTGATTTTATGTGCTCAATTTTGCAGCAATAAATCAATGGAAAGCAGAAGTAACAGCATATCTGAGTCAAATGCTTCCTCAATAAATGCCAATAACCGGTCTCATCATCATCGTACCATTTGTGCATCACCAAACCCCATTGTTTGCCCTGGCTGTGGCACTTGCTTTCAACCACAATAATTCGCCACGTAATCTTTTTAACTCATCCACCTTCACTGCAAGATTCATTCAAGAGTTTAGCATTGCATACTTCATCAGCCTACTCTTCAAATCCCAAATCTTTTATTTCCTCCAATAGCTATTCAACTCAGACGGGTTCATCATTTACTTTTGACACAAGTTCTGGAAACGCAGGAATACATTCACTCTTGACACAAGTTCTGGAGTTGCAGGTACTTCTAGCTTACCTCTCTTCAATTTGCAGCCTCCCAGCTTTACATCACTATGTCAAGTATTTAGAGGTCTTGATCTTAACATTGGAATAGATGCTAACTTCGAAGTGAGACGGACACTCACCAATAGAAAGATTCTAAAATGCAGGAGCAGGAAGACATAAAAACAGCATGTCATTGATAATCAGTTGGTTTCCTTGCCCTCAGTTCCCTAGTCTTTGGCCTTTGCCGTGATGTGGTAATTGTTGTTGGTCTCTCGAAGGGGTTTAACTGATTCTTGTCAAGTGATCTGTATGGAACTGGGAATGTTTCCATGCATGTATATTGAAATGCCATATCTCTCCCTCTTTATTCTGATTCTAAGGCATGTCTTTTCCGTCATTGCTCTTCAATTCAACTTGTAAATATGATGCGATGGCATGGCACATGGATAGAATTGCAATGTACTGAAAGTAAACCTTTTCAAACGGTTAATTCTTATGATTGTAGTTATAAGCAACTAAAGATGGTTGTCTTGCTGATCAGAGAGACATGGATTGACTGCTCATATATTAAACCAAAAACAAAAAGAAATAAAGGCAGCTTGCGGGCACAAAATATTAATACCAAGAAGTAAAATACAATAATTTTATATGCAACATAAGTTTATCCTTCTACATTATGAATGAACTCATTTTCAAGAACAACTTATTCTGACCTGTGCAGATTATGAAGTATGTACAGTGAAGCAGAAGATAAGAAATACACACAGAATAGCTTAATAGATCCATGCCAGTAGCTATAGTCACCCTCTTGCTCCTCTCAAACATCTTCACTAGAAGGATCATGACGATGACATGTCCCAATTTCGTCTTCAATTCATCCAGCGAGCTGATTTTCATCCATTTAGGTCTCTCCTACAACCAGCAAGGAACATTAATTATTATTATTATTATTATTTAGTATTTTCATTTTGCATCAATAGAGAAAAGAAAACAAAGAACCTCATCACATGATTGAAGACCTGTATTAGTTGCACATTTTTAGTAGACCATGGATGGAGAATCTTCTGATAGAGATGGAGACTCAACTACATGCACGTACAAAATTTTGCTAGGTCTTAACCAATATATAAGAAGCAAATTAGTGGCAGTAAAAGTGTAAAGCAACTCAAGTTTCAATCTTCTTAGTGCTTGCTCCATCCAACCCCTGCTCCACCCCCACCCCCACCCCCCGCCCCCCGCCCCCGCCCCCGCCCCATTCCGGGGATAAAAAAGGATAAGAAAAGAAAACATTAGAAAAAGACCAAGCAATGAATCTATGGAGTTCACAACATCACAAGAACATTAATCTCTAAGAGAAAATAACCAGCTATGATCAGACAAAGGCCACCAGACATAACCAATTCCACCCATGGCTTTAGGGGTTCATGAGAAGGTGGAACTAAGGCATCACTAGGATGGAACAGAAAGGACTGTATGGTCAAGCAACCGATTCAGTTCTGCTGTGGATTTCAGATAACTATAAGATGAATTTGACTCAATATTGGAATTGATAATGCCATTAGTGTGACCAACATATCATGCTCCTTAAGCAGCCCTCAGCTTGCCGGATGAACTAGAATATAATCTTAGAGATCCATGATCTCTCAGTACTTTCTAAAATAAGAGTAATGTTATCCTGAAATTGACTTCAGATAGATGAAATATAAGCATTAGAAAGTTGAACATCTAAAAGTCCAATAATTTCTCTCTCTCTCTCACAACCCACAAATATTCCAGTGGAAAATGAGGGTAACTACTTATGCAGTAAGTTGATGGATCCTCTAATGGCTAATAACATTGTAGTACCTTGATTTATGAAGCACTCTTAAGGTTATATCAGCAGATAAAAATCTAGGAAACATTTCATATTATAGCATGTCCAATAGGACCATGTGGAATTGTCACCTCCAATTTTTCGAAGTTTCCGTGTTCTCTTTCAGTAGCAGAAGGTGAGTAGGCAATTAAGTTCAGCATTTAGAATTAATCACTTCCTGACAGCAATTAACAGAATAAAATTCCCTTGTACATTAGTTATTCATTCTTCAATAATTCAACTACAGTACCACACTCTTTGAAGCTGTCTAAGAATCTAGAAGAAATAATGGGAAACATAATTATTAAATAGAAGGAACTATAATCTCCTTTTATTTTCTTCATTATTCTCATTCCAATCACCAAAAGAACAAAAGAAATTGAAGCCCCAGCCCCAAACAATTTACTATCCTACTTTCCAAATACACCTGTCTTTTCCAGATATCCAAAATAAAAATATCAGATCAACATGGTGCATACAACTGCTGACGTCAAGAGTCATAATAGATAATAGGACAAAGACAGTTCAAACAGAGTTTGCTACCTTCAAAGCAAACATCCCAAACAAGGAAGATCCTTTGAGGGCACGATCAACAGCAGGAGGAACATCTGGAGGTACATTGCTGATAAATAGTCCATATAGTCCCATTCCAAATATTAACATCACAGTCCCAGCAAGATACACATCTGCATTAAGAGAGAATTCAGTATCACATCAGTAATTACAAGACATTGTTACATAAACTGGCACAGAGCTATTAACACCACATTCCCAAGGACTCAATGACCAGTAAGGTCTTACTCTGTCCAACCACAATACAAAGCTACTGAGTGTTTTATATTTTCTCCTGCAATATAAATCATCTTCCTGAAGACACATGGCAAACCAGAAAGCTATAATGGTAATTTTGTTCTACCATCTACCTCCCCAGTTGTCATGCTGGTTCAACAAAATAATTGTTCAGCTAAACTTGATATGCTTGTTGCAAGTATGTGCTTTCATTGAACTCTATGATCACCTTGATCCTATACCCTTTTTTATGTAGGTCAATATGCACTCTATCCCTTGAGTATCTTTGCAGCTGATCAATTCCATTTTACGTTATGTTACCACTCCACACCTCAAATGTAATGTAATTTGACCAGTATTAGTGCAAGTGCTTCATATTCATCCCCATGGCTACCTGCTAATAAGTTAATATTTTATAGCAGTTGATCAACTAAAATTTTTCATAGGTTGAATGACATAAACTATTCTAGCATAAGAACATATTCTTCTCCTATAAATAGGTGATTATAAAACTAGAATGTTGTATAATGTCAAGTACTACAAGCAGCTCTAGCCCTCAAAAAAGAATCAGTTCACCAGGCATGTGGAAAGTAAGAATACTCGTAGAGGATATAGAAATAAATACATTATGTTACACAAAAATGCAA